AGGAATAATACAATATAGCAAATTATTTACCTATAAATTCTGACTAATACAGAATTAATTTTAAATGTATTTCATGGAATAATTTTAATGAAAACGTTGTTTAAACTTGTGAATCATTTTATAAACCAGGCTTTCATTAATTTCTGAAATATAAGAAATCTGAAAAGAAAGCATCACTTTATATTGTTTATTCATGTTCTTAGAACGTCACACATGATTAGACGTATTGCAATGTGTTTTAAAACTTCTGAACAGGGACGTACATTCGGTCGTGCACATTCTGAGATAGATTGTAATTACCGGTTGTTAAGAATACTTTTAAAACATATCACGATCCATGAATTATGGTAACGCGTTCCTCTCGTTCGACGCGACCGCTCGAGTCTCTGTTCTTTGATCCTGTTACAAGTACCGTGTGTGTTGCACCGTGGCGTGTGTCGAAAGAGAAACGGAAGAACTTCGACCTCGCCCGAGTTCCGCGCGGGTACGAAATCTGAGACGAGCGGCCACAGCGAATCGATTCGAGCGTTAAAGAGAAAAATTTCTTCCATCGATTAAAAATTGTCGTCGAAAGTTCTCATTCCAACAGAAATGTATACGCGATCTTCCAGTGCCTTGTAAATATCAACCGTGTGGTTGCATGGTACGTCTCGAGATAATTGGCACACGATGATCAAACGAAAAAGTAACACAAGTAAAAATGGAGCCTACTGAGTATCTTAACGAATTCGTATATTCGCGTATGCGCAATGGTTCTCGCGGCAAAACGTGAGCGGACGACGCGAGAATGAAAGAGAATACAAAAGTAAAACGTTGATTCTCAGGACTGAATGTTTTATATCATTAAGTATTACCTATGTCGATATTAATCGTAGTTTACGTTTCAAATAAACGTTTTTCATTCAAACCATAGACTGTCTCAACTTTTTTGCACCCGAAACGATAGTCGTACATTTTCATCCACATTTTTATCAAGTCGTAGCTTCGGACAGCATTGCGGCCAGCTGGATACGCTGAAACGGTTTCGCAGCGGCAACTAGAGATCGGAAGTGTCAAATGGTATTATGGTATTAAACGAATAATGCGTTTAAAAATTATATTGTATAAAGGACCCGAGGTCGTTCCGTGTGCGATGTGTCCAGGTTTCGTGCACCGGAATACGCGGAAAAGACGTGGAAACGTGGAAGGACGTCCCTGGTTCGTTTATAGCTACGGCCATGATAGAATCAACGAATGACCCACTTGGAGGGGTTTGCACCCCGTGACGTCACGTCGACGACGCCATTCATGACCCTTTTCTTTGACCCAGATCGGCGATAGTGTTGTCCCTACGAAATGCCATAGTTCATTCAAGAACCGCGACCACCGGAACCGATACCTACGCCGGAACTGCCACGGGTGACATGTTCCAGCGCTTTCAATGCGCGGATTATCGGTTCTCACGAGGTTCCTATTCAATTCTTGTTTCCCTCGCTTATCGCTCGTCTCGCGGAGACGAGTGCCGGGGTTACGACAGATTATAAAGGAATCACTGTCCTATCGTCGGCTTATTGGCTCTCGCAAAGTTTCTTCTGTTCACTTTTTATCTCGGCTTCTTCCCGTTGTGTCCAGAACCGTCAAGTATAAACCGTAGATTCGCGGTGCATTTATAGAAGTGCTCACGCTCCATTTGAGCCCCTCGAGCCTTATCTACGTTCCTTCTTCTCTCTACCGTTGGCACATTCTACTACGCTGTGCTGTGCGCTCGAATAACGATGAGAAATTCACTTCTTTGGACGTACGGCCAAATCCGGCCTCGATTGGTCGTTATACGCCCTAAAATGTTTCATGTTGTACAGAAATCCACGAACTATTCATAGACGTTGAATGGCAGGGTTACAATAAAGGTGAGACCGTAGGAAGCTATTCTAGCCATGGGGCGACGATCGCCGGGCTCGTCTCTTTTTCCTGATCCGTTTGCCCCAGTTTTCCTTTCAATCTAGTGACGTCATCGACGTCATTGAGAAGGCCGTCGGCAGCGTGTCCTAATTCCGAGAGCCTGCGATTGAATAAACCCTACTTCGCAACTTGTCTGCAGTTTGCCGCACGGCATGCGTCGCGTTTCGTACGCAGTCGTCGCCGCATCCTGCGTACTACATGCCATGTGCATGCAGCCTGGCAGAACCGTTTATCAATTGCACGGTCGCACGTATCGATTTTGATATTGCTTGAAGCAACGATCCATCGTACAATTTTAAGACGTCGTATTCTCTATTTCAGTTTATACATCCTTGATCTGATAAAGTGTATTCGTAGAGTCTCTGACGATTTCCGCTTGGAAATAGGTTTGTTAAAATTGTTTCAAGTAGCGGCTCGTCACCCTCGTTGCGGCACTTTAAGGATGTATTGGCTATATAGTCAATACCAAAAGTTTATATACCATAGAAAAACGCATTTCCTATAGTTAAAAATAGTGTATTCCTCTTCTAATTTCGATATTTAATCAGTTAAGTATGATTATTTGGCATTTTATTGATGTTAACAAAATTCGACCATCCCAGCGTCGAAACGGCGAACTCTTGGAAAAAAATTTCGTTTTTGGCCAATAACTCCCAAACCGTTGGATATACGCAAAAATTGGATATGACCTTTCTTGTAGAGGATGACGAGATCTATAATTTCCGTATAAAAATTTTTTGCTAGCGTCAATAGTTTCCGAGTTATTACCGAAAAACGAAAAAACAGTTTTTTGCAAATAACTCATTAACTATTGACGCTAGCGAAAACTTTTTATACAGAAATTGTAGATCTCGTCGTCCTCTACAAAATGGTCCTATAAATTTCCCCCGTAGGTCCATCCGTTTGGGAGTTATGGGCAAAAAACGAAAATTTCGCGAAATCTGAAGGGGTACCTCATGGAAAAATGTCAGAAAAATCGAAAATTTTTTTTTGCGGAATTTCGACAAATACTTCGAATATAAGTTGTAGGTGATACTATTACCTATGAAAAATGTGCAATCACTATAATTTTAGCTTTTTAATAGTAATAGGAATCTATAATAACATATTCAACATGCCAGTATTGTTTAAGTATATCCTTAATCCATGCGTCAAAGAAACAAAGCATATCGGACATAAATGCTGCTAATCAATCGTAACAAGGACAATCGAAAATCCGGCTGCACCACCCCATTCACCCGACGAGAGCGTACGAACGACCGGGTCGTTGCACCTTTGCCAATGACGTCGGATATTACGTCACGTCGTCATGGCTACGATCCCATTCTCCGTCACCCTGATCAAAATTGGGGCTACGACCTCGAATCGGGTCGGCGTTGTTTCGCTCCCGACCCGAATTTAGGCGACCATCCCCCCGACTCGACTTTTCACTTACCTCTGCGGATCCCAGGCTTTGATCTCGTTTGTTTGTCGAACGCTTGTCGCCAACTTTGCTTGAAATGAGGAATTTCATCCCTCGAGATCTTTCAAGTACGGTGTAGGATTTTTTAAATTCCATCACGACAGTTAATAATAATGCGACCGCGAATCTTGCGAATTTATAGAAAAATTTGTGCATTAAGTGGAGAAGATTATACTTTAACGGTAAGATTATTATTTAATCGATCCGTCACGAAAGTCTTGATCGACAAAAGGGAAGGTAGGTGGGTAAATGAAATTGTAACTGTGTAAAATCATAATGTAACCATTTTATTTCTTTCAACGTAACACAGTATTATTATCATTATCATCATCGTTACAATCGTGTCTCCATCGTTGTTTCATATTCTATCAGCGGTAGCCTCGGCTACCGTAACAATGAACCGTCAACAACAACAATAATAATAATAATATCAATATTAGCGATGATCGCCATGATCATCGTCAATTATATAATAATCAGAATTAATAATAGTATTTATCAGCCGGCATTGTGTATCGATGCCCATTTTCATTACGCACGATAAATAGGCACAAGTGTGCGTGTCGAAGCGTTTGATTTTTTGATTTCATCGAACTCGTCGCTGAGCGATCGAAAATATTGTCAAAAGAGAGTGTTATATACATATAATATAATATATTTTTTCCACGGGATAAAGATAAAACTGTTTCAAAGATCACGACGAACTTTCGTATTCTAGAGGCACTATCATTCACGTATTTCGTTTCTCACCGGTGTGTAGCTTTAAATTATCCCCAGAGCCGCGGATTTTCATACAGAATAAAACATTTAAAAAAATCGATTTCAGATAGGAATTTCCCTGTGTTCGCTGACGCTCGTATTCTCCTGGTGCTCAAAATTTTTGTGGAAAATCCGCGGCCTACTTATTCCTAAATGAAAAATTTCTCGTGTGTTCCTAAGAGAACGAGCAAGAGAAACGAACGAAAGAAGGAGATCTACGATATCTAGAAAATCTGAAGTTGCTTTCAGCGTAAAAACTTTCATTAGACGTTCCACAGGGAATCGAGATAAATCAGAATAAATAGTACAGCATAAATATATAATAGTCGACAAGATTTGCTCCTTGTCTTCTCCTCCGTTTCGTTTGCTACGTTTCGTTTCGTTCGTGTTCATATTCTCGTTCGTGTTCGTTTTGTTGAAAATAATTTAACGGCATATGCACGGATAGCAGAACGGTGCGCTGTCGCGTTCAAAAGCGCTTCGTGCTCGATAGTATATGGCGTATAGTTTGCGAGCAACGAGACTGATCGTTCCCGGAAAGAATCGTTAATTCTTTGTTGAAAAGGTCAATCGAGTTACTCTGTTATTGCATTTGTGCGACTACGTACGAAGCGGTTTGAACGTCAATTGATTGAGAGAATTGATCGTTCGTTAAGGACGATCCATGGCTCGTTTGATTGAGTCCAGAACTTGGCTAGCAGAGACGGCTGGTCGATCTTCGTTGAGGCGGTGGAGCTCTGATACACGTCCTAAAATATTTCAAGTAATCAAAACGAAATCTTATGTAATCTCGAATCCATTTACAACGTGTCATCAAATAATAATAATTATATCTCAGACTGGCAGCTCGATCACTCATTAGCGAATTCTACAGACATTAGTATTTACAAACACTGAAACTGATAGAAAACTGGTTACTGAAATAGTAATTATCATTCGTTTCTCATGCGTGTCTACGTGTTACGACAGAGCGAGGCCTTTAACATTCAATGAGTTCTTCGTCGGGAACTTACCCATCCTATTCACTGAGTACTGGCAGTAGAGACCTTACGCGAATCGAATTAAAAAAAACAGAATTAGCTCATCGTTTCGCGGACAATTATCCTTCGGATCCCAGATTGAGTTTCAACAGATTATACAGGGTGTTCCAGAAAAAGTGTTAGAGTCGAAAAGGGGTGATTCTGGAGGTGTTTGCATTTTGGCAAAAGAAATTGTCGTTGAGAAACACTTACAGAATCACCTCTCTTCGGCTCTAACACTTTCTCTGGGACACCCTGTATGTATAGTAGTTTGCACACTTACAGTTCGATGCTCTGGATGGTAGACGAGGGACACGTGGTGTCGACTTTGACGTGACAGTGCTTATGACACTTCATCTGGCAGTCTCTGCACTCGTACCCCTGCTTGCCCAATCTCCGGGCTAACGTTCGCTTGCATACCTCGCACACGGTACCTCTGAAAAAGACCGAGATCTTTGAACCTTGCGAAACAATTTCGTCAGTTACAAAAAATAGATTTTATGTAAAATCCGCGATTTAATTATTATTAAGAGAAACTTACCCTGGTATGTGTTTCGCAATGAACGTATGGTCGTTGAATATATGAAGCTTCGTCCCTTTCTTCCTCCACTTGCTCTTCTGCGCTAACGACAGCGGCACTAGGTAATGCCTGAAAACGGCAAAGGTCGTCGCGTTAAGTCTGAATCTCAATTACGATTTAGTGTGACGAAAAGTGTGTCGGTTCTTTACTTTCTGATACCGTTCTCGAACGTCTCGAGAATCAAGGTGGAGGCCTCGTTAACGTAAGTTCTGGTCGACGCTCCGCTAATACCGGACGCCTCGCTCAAACTCGACCGCCTCGAATGTTCTTCCCTTCCTGGTATCGATAAACGAGCTATAAAATTCAAGCGAAACGGTCGTTTGCACTTGGTTAAAGTGTTAGTCAGCATTATTGGCATTAGGGACCCGGTTGGCGTTTATGATTCTGGCATACGTTTAGGCTTAGTTTTTAATTTATGAAGAAGCTCTGATGGTTCTATTGTCGTTGCACATTGCGTCATCGCTAGTACTCACCAGCATCGCGTGTCGCACGGAGATTCGTGAGCAAAACAAACAACACCAATTTTACACGCCAACGCTACTTAACAAGTACTAAACTCTATTTTCCGAGACTCTGGGTCTCGACAAACGGTAACGCGGCTAATAATTTACGGATGCATCCGTGAATAAACGTACCCGAGCCGGGGTCGCGCGCCCTGTCCGCAGATATGGATCTCGAGTGTGGATCCTCGTGATTCGCGTCACCCTCCGGACCCACCGACCTGCTCCTCGTCTTCGATCTGCTCAGTCGTTTCTTTATCGTCCCGAAAAAGTCTCGTCGTTTTCTCCGCGTCCTCCCTCGCTCTAAAACATACGTACGGACATAGTTACGTCGTGTCATAAGCAATCTTCTAGTGTACGTATTATACAGGGTGAATCATGAATCGTCAGCAGTTATTAGTTATTAGCAGTACGATCGAAAATGTTTTCATCAAATAGCTTTTACGTGATTATAGCAAAATTTGTGTCAACTCGTTCCTTTTATGATTTTTCAAGATCACCTACAATTTTTTGCAAATACACCTATAATTTTTTTACGCTTATCTGTTACAGTATTTCAAGACGAATTCGGTAAGTGTCGTAACTTTTACGTTAATTTAAGTGTATTCTCAAAAAATTGAAGGTGATCATGAGAAATCATGAAAAAAGAGAGTTGACAAAAAAATTGCTATACTCACGTGGTTATATATTCGTGATTCACCCTGTATGTTAATAATACATATGATATATGTATTATCAATCGTGAAAGAGAAATCATGCGAGAGGGTGGTACCTTCGGAATTGGACGAATTTGGCGTGCTTTCTGGTCCCGATGTCGCGCTAGTGTCTTTCGCCCCATGCTGAAACGAACGAAGGAACGTTTATACACAGATAGTTAATGTCACAGACTTTTTGGAAAGGTCTCATCGCTGAGAATCAGTGACTTGGAGAACGATTTGTTAAGAGACATTAGTGCAAAGTAGGTAATTACCTCCGGCGAGATCTCCTGCCAGTTCCCGCTCTCCGTGATGGCGACCTGCAGAATTAGTAAACCACACGCCACTCACAATTAATTAGTGTTCTAAGAAAAAAAAGCCGAGGGGGCACGTCGTGAAACGAACGGGTCTCGAAGGGATCGTGACGACAATTTTTATCGCTTGAAACAATTAAGATCGTCTATTAGTGCAGATCCATTAACGCGTGCGATACGAGCGGTGAAATTAGGATTGCAGCCACGTAACACCAAGGATCGGGTCGATGACGAGGGGGAGGCGACACGACGGCTTACCTTGACCACCTGCCGCTCCGGCTGCTGCAAAAGAAAATGCACAACAAAAAAAACGTGGATAATAGTCGACCTGGAGTTAGTAAACGAGAAAAATTGCACGGGTTCTCCGGTAATAAAGTCGCATTGAAACTCGCGATTCGTTTATGCGTACCCTTTGTTGACTGTGAACGATCAGAGTCCCTTTGTTCCCGTTGCTTTGACCAGTCCTGTAGGGTGAGTCCACCACGTTCCCGTTCGTTAAGTAATCTGTGAATCACCGTTTCGAATATTCAGCTAGACCGGACCAACAGATTTACAACTTTCTATGCCCGTCAAGCATCCGTCATTCCGGTTAGCAGAAGATTTTTCGCTTGGCAATGCGTTCGCGATTATGTAATAATGTAGCGCTGCTCGATTTGCCAGAGTCTGGTAGCCGAAATAACTCGGACTGATTTCATACTACAGAAACGTCAACCCTTTCTTTTCTGTCCACTCCCGTAACTCCGTTGTTACTTTTACATTTATATGGAAATCTGTGTCGCTTGCAAAAGAAAGGGTCAAGGCTCGCGTTAAATGGAAGAATAATGACAGGAGTCAGAGAGCTCTACGCGTTTAACATACTCCATGCGACCTACGTGTTGGGAAAGTAGAACCCGGTACCGAGAAGTGCAGGCACGCGTTCGAAAGGGAAAGTTCTCACAGACTTGACACACGAACTGAACTACGTAATATTCTAGCGTGAAAACAGGATGTGTCATGTTCACTAATCTCTATAGAACACTGGACAGTGGACGCGTACCAATGATAATGGCCCCAATTGAAATACTGAACTCCGACCCTTACGCGTTTCTTTCGTAAACTTCAAATATCATGAGATTAACGCTAATGCTAATTAGACATTCTTATTTCACGCACATGATCTTTAACCGATTGACCAATCCTGATGGTGGGAAGTTGAGATCGGGAATCACTCCCTTTCAGATCAGATCGAACGATCGTACACGATGATAGATACGCGAAGAAAGAGATTACCGATTGTTAGTTTCAGTATTACTGGATTCTGAGGAGAAGATACATTTATCGATGCAAGGATATTGAATGTTTGATTGACAGCTCTCATATTTCGTAGAGGAAGTCACGATGAAAAAAATCGCTTTTGATTCATCCCGATATCTCAATCCGTTCCGGAGACACAGACTTCCAAAGTTTAGGCGCAGCGTTTGGCACAGAGACCTAGTTTTGAGTCTCAGCGGGGAGTCTAGACCTATTCGGGGAGATTAGGGTAGGTCCGGTGCGAGAAGGACGAGAATAGTGGCGCAGAAAAAAATTGTCATTGTCTTCACACGACGATATCTCCGGAATAGGAAATCAGATCGAGATGAATCAAACGGTATTTTAAACAGGAGACTTTCCCGCTTCGAGTACGCAAAGCTTCGCTCATTCACTATTATTTATTGCAAAATTAAAGACGTATATTTTTTTCTGCTCGATCTTTTGTGCCGGTGTAACGGGATCCGATCTCTCCTGATCTCGAGAGCGATGATGTATAGTGACGGCAAAGTGTGTATATGAGGTGCCTCGTCTCTCGAGCAAGCGAAGCCCAGAACCGCAAATGTGTATTAGTAAAATATCGACGTACAAGTGTACGAAAGTGCATATTCGAAATGAACTATTTAATTATCGATGCTTCTGACAGACTACGCGAGCATTTCAATTGGGACCATTTCCTTAACGAGCCAATCGTGCTGATCCAGTATCAAGCGTTCGGTAGAGATAAGTGTTCGTGTTAAGAAAGAAGACCGTAGATCACACGCGGCTAAAATCTGAAGGGGGTGGTACGATTTAGTGAACAGGAGTACGTACTAATTCTATGATGGTGTGGCATACGTTCTACGTTTTCTCACACTGGGTGAACGCAACACCGTTTCAGAATAAGTAATTATTGGTAATTACCCCCATCGGATTGATCAACGGTAGAGTCGTACAAGATAAGTGTGCTGTTACCATTGTTGTAATTTAGACTATTGTCGCTGATCAGGTTTGTCGGGGTGTAGGTACGGGGAGTCGGTGACACCGGTTTTAACGTCTCCTTCACCTTGTAAGGTTTGCTCCCGATCTGAGGCACCTCCGCGCCCTCGATGAACAGAAACTGAGAAAAGAGATAGAGAAGAGAGAGGAAAGAGAGAAGGAGATAGAATTCACAAGCGAAAAGGACAATAATAATCTTTTGACCCCTTAATGCATCAGATAAAACTTCAATTTTTACCAACTGACTTTTTGTTTAACGCTGGGGATTAAGTATGCTTCGTCTCATTCTGCTTACCTCGACCGTTAAGGTTCCGGTGATGTCTTCTTCTTCGTACGGCCGATTTTGAAGAGGTATAATTTGCCTTTGACTAGGATTCGCTAGAAGTTCATCGATCCCCACAATTCCTAAGCCTAAGAATCGTTGGGACTTGTTCACTCGATCATAAATTTCTAACAGTACCTCCGATGTGTTCCGATTTACATCGCTGAAAGTTAAAAACACGTTTTTGACGAACATTACATTCGATAAAAAGAAAATGCCACGTTTCATTTCACTTACAATAAGAACGCCTCGTCCCAAAGCGGATTTCGAGTGTCCTTTTTGGTCGATGTTTGATTCTTTTGAGATGGCTCGTCCAGCTCGACGACACAGTACGGTTCCATGGCGCCTTGCTCGCCTCCTAATTCTGTTGCTTTGACGACTTTGACGAGCAATCGTCTGTCACCGGGGACGTACTGCGTGGGCGTCGGTGTTTGCCTTTGAAGCCATTGCCGCGAGGCTTGCAACGAGCCGCTCGATGTCGTCTACAATTCGGTTTGACACGATTAACCCGGCGAAGCTACGGAACACTGATCCTATCATTCTTCACAAAGGGGTTGAAATTTTATTTACCATATTGTCGTAGTGCGTGGGTATCGAGAAGCTGGGTTGAGTGGAGATCGGTTCCCTCCATAATCGCGGACAGTTGGGATATTGAAATAAATTCAGATGAACGTTCGTCCCCCTTAACGCGCCTATTACGATTTCCGTTACGACTTCCTGCAACTGGCTCTCGTCCAGATCTTTCTTTATTGTACCAACTTGGGCCAACGATACTTTGACCTAACGAAATCGAAAGCGTCAACATAGATAGGAACGGTTCAAGGAACTTTGTACCATTGACTCTTAACGATTGATTCCAAATAATTGTCTGTCATTATGACGAGTAGATTTTTGAAAGGATTCGGAATTGTACGTACATCCGGCCAGCCGTCGCATTTCAGGTCCAGGAGGAGCTTCTCGGTGATGCAAATGACGTTTAATCGCGCGCGGAACCGGTTCACGTTTACTCGATAGTGGCTCACTTCCAGTTTATCGGATTTCCGGCGGGAAGCCTTCAGCTGTAACGCCGGCGTGGCTTCACAATCGCACGTGATCGTCTGGAACACAACAAACCTAGTAAATCTCGTCTCTCGTGGATCGTATTCGAGATACGTACCACGTCGTCTTTAGAGTCGCACTCGCAAAAGATGTTCGACAAATTCGGTGGATGCGTTTCGGGTAGAACCCTGACGAACTCAACTCCGACTCCGTGCTGCGAACAAACTTGTGTTAATCCTTCTCTCGCGGATCGCTCATTCGGCGAAAAGTGTTTCGTGCGTGCCACTTTCGGTCTTAAATCGTAAATTGTTCAACTCTCGATGGTGCGTGTCATCCCCATAATTACACGTGACTTAAGAAATTGAGTTCTCACCTCGTTCACGGAGTTAGCCGTGAATTGATTGAGAGACGCGACCCAGACGGCCAGCAATTCATCGAGAATCGCCGGATCCGAGTAAAGCCAAACGATGACCTCGTTCACCCAGCGGACGGCTTCCGGATCGGCGCCGGTCGCGGTAGGCAGATGCAAGCTCTTGGTGCTCCGCGCGGGGCTGATCAAGCTTCCAGAGGTTTTTCTCGCGGTGAGCCGTTTGCGCACGGGGGGCGTAGGTGGCACGTAGGACGACGGAGAGGTACCGGAAGCTGGTCCGGCGGTGGTACCGCCGGACGGGTGATTGACAGCCGCAAGCGAACCGGAACCGGCACCGCCACCACCTGCCCCCGAAGGCGATGCCGATGCGATTTTTTGCTTCCCAGTCGAGGCTAACTTGCCGCCACTACCGCTACCACCTCCACCACTACCGGTACCACCACCACCAGCACCGACACCGACGCTATCACCGTGAACGATATGGCCGTCCTTGGCGGTAGTTATTGTCCCAGGGGTGAGCTCGTTCAGAACGAAACGATTGTATACGTATTTGCCGACGCACAGAACCACCAAGCCGAACAACATCCAGCCGAATATCAGCATCGATAACGTATCCATGGTCGTGTCACCAGCCGAGTCGAAACTGCATATCAGATCGTCCACCCGCTCGGCCAAGTCGGCCATATTGCCCCATCGTTCGTCCAACCAAGTCCAATTGGATTCCAAAAACATTCTTTTCTATTTTCACCCGCTAGCGACCAGCGCCCCACTACCGAAACGGTGTTCGCCACACGGTTTATTATTAGACCGCGCGTAGACCCTGGGCCCCCAGGACTACGGCACTGGTGCTCACGATTTTCTCTCAACGGTCTCGCTTCCCCTGGTTCATCACGCGGCAACAGTCTCTCCTCGCGGTACCGGAAGCTCTGCTGTATCCCCGAGATGCCCAAGTCTCGACGCGACGGCCACGCGTCATTGACAGCGGCGCGACGACGATCGCGAGGGTGGCCGCGATCGGTTACCACCGAGTCTGGCGAACACGTTCGATTTCATCGCCGTCTCCGGACGCGACGACCAGTGATCAATGTCGGTCAATGAACGGGCACGGATCTTGTCGAGTATACACGCACACGGAATCTCCTCTCGGTTAGATCATCGCGCTAAATAGCTTGCCGATTAGCCTTTGCGAGCAACCTTCGACCAGCACGTGTAAACTGCGCCTTCGCGAATAATAATTGGCTGTGAGATAAAGCATGAAATATTTATCGTCCGTTCCGTTTTTTCTTTCTCGCTCGAAACGCGGTTACCATCGTCCGTGACTCGTGCATCGCGTCATGTCCAATTTCAGGTATTCGTCATACTGTTCGAATCTTCCCAGACTTTTTAATTCATCTGACGATTACTCCGACTCAGCTCGTGCTGGCCTTTCGCTGACGCGAGCTCGTTTCTGAGGTACTCGAGCGGATCTTATCGCCGCTGGCCTCTACGACCGACTCACGAATTAAGTAAGCGGCGAGTCACGATCATCCCACAGCAGGCTAGATGTAATCAGAGTTTAATCACTTCTCATGCCGTTGTTTTCTGTCGAAGCCGGCGCGTGTTCGTTCACATGGGCCGCCTTCGCCGCCCCCGCGCTTCGCTCGCTTCGATGTTATCGGTTCCCTTGGCACGATGGTAACGCGTATTCTTGCATTTAGTTACTCCCTACCACGTCACGTCGACGAAGAGTCACACTGCGTCTTCCGTTTGGCTCCAGTCGCAACGCGTGGTTGTACAGTGAATCGCGTAGCGCAAGCGCGTCCACAATTTGCCGCATTTACCTTACTTTCGTTTCTTTCGTTTCCTTTCCGAGTCACCCGTGCCACGCGACCACCAGGGTCGGTTGACCCCGTTTTTCCCCGGCCGTAGCTGGTCTTACACGTTTGATCGGTTCGCGCGTCGACGGAGATCTCTGGTCGCGCGCGGCCCAGGTGCCGGTGACGAGCGGGAACCACGCGATCGGAGACGCTTCGGCACGGCGAACGGTCACGTTCCTACTAAGTACTTAGCTGCCCGATCCAGACGCTCGTCGCGTTCTCTCTCCCTCTCGATACTCCCCGCGCGTTATCGATCCGCGAAACACCCATGGGTCGCACCCACGCGGCTAACGATACGAACGTTCGCTCTCAACGAGATTCCTAAGAAAGTGTTGACAGAACTTAGAAGCCATCGACTTCTATTTGCTCATGATCGTCCGCTCAACAACTCGTATTGCGTTAAGAATTAAGTGATCGATTTTTATAAGTTGCTGCAAAGAAGATAAGTGATGATGTATTTCAATTTGTACAGTCGACACGTACTACTCGCACGTTGAAGTGCGTTCGATTTATTTATTGAATTTGAATGAAGTTTTTTAAGCGAAAATCATGAAACTAGACAAGAGCGCGCAATACGCGTAGGAAACATAGTCGTGAGCAGAAATCGTGAGCCGTGACCGCGATCGGCCGCGGTATCCTGCTGCTAGCTAGCTGGTAGCGCTACTCGAATGCGTCATTCATTCTTCCCATCCTCGTAGGAACGTTCCTTCGTAGGAACCCCTAACTACCACCAGCCCCTCGTGTTCTATCTTCCGTCTTTCTTGCGTGCACGCCAGATCTCCTCGGTGTGCCGTTTTTCGTTATATGTTACGGATGCGTGACGCATCGTTGCCGCGGCAGTAAACCATCGAAAATCGCGGACGAGTTTACGATTTTACGATCGGCGCAGTCGTGGAGCCGGGAGCAAAGTAAATGGAGTTCTGACTTGACAGATAGGGGATTCACGGTTCGTAGGAATTGGGTCACTATCGTACTCGCAAAATGACGCGATGCGTCTATAAATAACTCGAAAAGCAAGTATGCATCGAGGCGAGGCGAACAGATTTTTTTCTGCTCCAGTTTATAAACTAAGGATGAGAAAATATAATAGGGACTGAATTTCGGGCGTATATCTTTTATTTCGTCATTCATTTACATACAAATATTTTCAAGAATCCGAAGGAACTTCGGCATGCCTTTTTAAATTAAACGCTGCTAATCGTATTTCGTACAAACTTCAATCGCGGTCGCTTAAAACTAATAAAATACGCTACGCGGCCTCGTCGAGTTCTTCCCTCTTCAGTTTAGGATTCCGTCGTTGTAATCCAGAGTTGGGCGAACAGCGTATACAACGGCAGGGGAATTATTGATATTGACCGGATTCCCGTCAATGAGATTTCGGTTCCAATTCGTGTGCCCAACTCTGTCGCAGTTTTACGAAGGGGCGATTATCGACGTTCTCTCCTAGCTACATTTTTATTGCTAGGGATGCGGCCGTTCCACTGAATGCAGTAGGAACGGTCGCTAGATCATCTTCAGTTCGCATCGAAGTTGCTGTATTCATGCTCATTAAATGCTCTTGATTGCCACGTGTCATGTTATTAGATTTACATATAAACAACGACAGGAAACGGCGACGAGACTCGACGATTAGTCAAAAAAGTCATGAAAATCTTAAAGAGGAATCGTTGTCTTTGGACAGAGAAAGGATAAATCTGTGACCATGGAAGAGGGTTGATCGGAAAAGGAGAAAGGCTCAGATTCGATTTCTCGTTGCCGCTGCGTCGCATGATACAATATAAAATACCGTTTCACGCATTAATTTCTTTTTATATCATATGTGTATTTGTTTGCTGCTGATACAATAATTATAATACACACTGTTTATAATGGCCCTGGACACGGTATTACCTCTCTCTCTTGATTTTCATCGACGTGTCGCGAAAATCGTAGCTCTCAATTTTTTTTTTTTCATTTTTTTTGCGCTTCTTAAATAATTTCAATCGTAACAAACACTCTTTTTATGCTCGCGCTTTATCATATTAAAATTATCCATGTATGATATATGTATATATAAATATACATATGTTAAATATAATATAAATGCTTCTAATACTAGTTCGCTTCTCCTCGATTAGCAGTAATCGTACCCCGCTGCGATTCACCTTCTCCCAAGAAGCGTGCCGCGCCCACTCTTCTCTCTCTCCTCACGTCACATACCGTCATCGAACATTCGCGTTCGTGAACAGACACGCATTCATTCACGCAGCAATCATCCATGCACACGTGCAATCTCATACCTGCTCTCCACCTGCTCGTCGAACATCTTTGAAAGATACATAGTCTTTGCATCTTCGAACGAGAGAGCCTTCGTCGGGGATCGTTGTTCTTTTAAAAAAACGACGCAACGCGATCGTGTACAACTGTTACATTACATTTTTTTTAGTTTTGTTTGTTCATTGAAAAAGTAGTTCGTAGAAACGGAAAGCATTTTCGGGTGAACGTAGAAAACTTGAAAAATTGTACAATCGTCAAACAGCGGAATGTGTTCAAAAATGTAAAATGCATCGAACGGCAAAGAAACAATTTTGCCGGAACACGGTCTGTTACTTATCGTTACGGTAGAGTATCATTTTATTCAGTTCGGTAGGTTATTGCTCGGCGCCGTACGAACATACAGGGTGAACCAGTACGAAGCGTCGCTTCAAATTGTCGTTTACTAATTCATTTCGCTATAGAGCCTTGGAAGATGAATATATTATATACATCGATAAGCGCTATCTTAAAATTTCTGTTAATCGAATCAATAAATAATTGTTTACTTCAAATGCTCCTTAGTGATTCGCCCTGTATGTACGTTATAGTACGATCGATCGTTTTCTCGAAATTCAACGAGGGATTCATCATCTTTGTCACAGAAAATTGTACAAACATCGACGATCGATCGGAATTTGAACGGAAACCTTAACACGGATAATTTTCTTGAAAGAATAATACTTGTGCGGATATGTGCGATAGGATGGACAAACATATCGAGAAAAAGAACCGTCTTAAATAGATAAACTAATCCCACGGTGTGATATTGACAGTGTCAATCAATTTTATCGTTAGTTTTCTTAGACGACTAGAAAGAGTTGAGATTAAAAATTTAGTATTAATACTTAAACGTTACGCCATTGCGCTTTTAATTAGTGCATTAATTTAGTGCTCAGTCTGCCGCAAGTCCGTTTCGTAAAAAAAGAGGAAGAGAAAAGAAAAAAAGGATGATGTAGTTATGAATTTCTCATCGTGCATCATTCAGACTTCGTATAATATTTTATAGATCGTAAATCGAATGGCCTTGATATCGCTGTATGATTAAGACATATCGTTCGAAAACGCTGCGAGGAATGGGCACGACTATCGTCTTTTTCTTTTCCGTCTTTCTCTCGCTACACCTCTCGCACTCTCTTCGCCTCCTTATTATTTTTCGTATTTTTGGTAAATGCAATGATGCCAATAAAGCCGGTGCAGATCAGCGCATTATACGGCTATATTATAAATACATAGAATATATATGAACTGCAACGTTGATCTTCTCATTTCTTTTATTGAGAATCGTACGATGGACGATAAAAAAATATAAGAACGGAGAGTAGTATACAGTATCGGTAGCAAACACGATCGCCTTCTTTCATACATCGAATTTTGAGATTATTAGCGATCAATGATGCGTCAATGTAAAATTCTTGGAGTTCGTTCAGTAAATGTGTGTGTCATCGATCGATAACCCATTTTATCAAATCTCTGATAATCGATCGATCGAGTCTATTCTAATCTCTGCTTTTACGATACCGAAACTGACTGACTTTGACTTGGAATTGGAATGTATATCGATCTGTGAGCATAACAGTGATATCTGTACACGGAAATGGTGGTATGTACTGCTGAAAACCAGCCAGGGATTCGATGTTGATAAAAACATGACGCGCGTTCCGAAGGGAGGAAAAGCGATAAGTAGCCGCACCATGATCGCGGAAGAAAGATTGAATTTTCGTGTAGTAACGCGCCTTAGACTAGAGGAATCTCTTTTGTTCATTTTCATGTGTATATATAAATTCCGTGATATTTACATAGATTGAAACGCAAGTGTTTTCCGTTGTGCGTGGGATCAGCATTACGTTGCGTCAAGCTAGGTTTGCTCGATTCGATATACGGATAATACTTATCGGGATCAGGGAGCACGGTATTCGTGGTCGATTAACGGAGCAGAAATTGTACGATACCACCGAATATTAATACGCATCCAAATGCGTGGGTGACCCGAAATGTGTCGCGCATCGAATTGGCAGCATCTTTGTTATCCAAATTCATCGTGTCGTTTACCGTTCGTCTCGGTAAACGACAGAATGGGTACGGTTCACTTAAAAAGCTAGATTAGATATAACGTACTTACACACAAACATGTCTGATATACATGGGGTATAACTGCATTCCATTTTCATTTCGCAAATGTTTAGTAAAAAAAGTCATGTACGCGACTTGTCGATGATCGTTTCGGTTGATCTACACGGTGGTAGAATATTCGTTTCTCACTTCAGACTCTGGTCCATCGTCGCATCTTTATCTTCTAATCAGTTCTGCTCTGACAGCTGGAAGCATGACAAAAAAAGGCACGCTTGAGTAAATCTCTCTCTGGAATTTTTATCTCCATCGAACGCGATCTTAAATATCCTTACCATCCACGATTTCCTGTTTCATCTTTTGAAACTCTTTGCGCACTTCCTTAATGATCTCGGCCTTGAACGCTTCCATCTCTTGAGCAGTGAGGATAGCCCCGTCGTTGACTCCATTCACTTTGAGCAGAGTATCCTCGGAAGCAGAACCAAACCTCTTGCGAACCGATTTGGGCGACTCGGCACCGTTCGAAAATTTATTGTTCGAGTTGTTCTTGTCCCATGATTTCTTATCGGGTGAACTGTCAGGCTCCTGTTAAAAAAATAGTAAATGGCAATTACAAAATTGATATTTTAAAGACTTGTGGGCACGAAACAAGGATCAAGGAGGACGCACCTGTGGTTGCTCGGGTTGTTTCTTCTCGACAGCCGCTCGTCTACGAGCCAAAGTTTTAGCCATCTCGTCCATCATGGAAGCAATACCGCCGCCCCCGCCCCTGCCCAGCGTACCGTAATTTCCGCTGTTCCCAGCGCTTCCACTGCTACTGGTGCTGGAACCACTGTTTTCCACTTGTTGTTGTGCCGCCTAAAAAGGACATCGCGAATTAAACAAAGCGAATATAAGTAGAAGCGAAAGATCGAAAATTATCGAGACGAACCTGTTGCTTCTTTTTAAGACGAGTCGCTTGAATCGCAGCAGCCAAGGAATTGGAATCTGGTGCCGGTTCGTTGTTGGCTACGGAACTGACCGACCCAGTGGAACCGGAGCCGGAAAGAGGATTCAAGCCGGTAGCGTTAACCTTAGGAGCAGGTGGAGGCGGAGGCGGAGGTGGCGCGGGACCGGTCAACGGCCCCATGGGTGGTGGTTGAGGACCGGCACTGCCGACAGGAGCATAGATATTAGGATTAACCGGGGGTACGGGACCGCTGCCAGCACCACCCCCGCTGGCACCGCCGGCGGCGCTGCTATATTGATTCACCGCGTTCGACGGCGTTCCGTACGGATTCGTGGCGCTTGATACCGCTTGCATCTGACCGGGCCCGTACTGTGCCTGTGCCTGAGACACAACGCCGTACTGAGACTGATTCGGTTGGCCGATACCGACGTTTATACCGACACCTACCCCGTATTGGCTCGTCGTCGCTGCCCCGCTGCTGGCGTACTGCCCGATGGAATTGCTACTTCCGTACTGACTACCGCCAGCATTAGCGCCCGGTTGCCCGCCGGGATACGCGCTGCTAACTTGCCCGTTGTTGCCGTAGAAGTTGTTCTGATTCCCGGAAGCATACTGACACGGACTCTGACCGACCACGCCGGTGCTCGCGTACTGACCGTTGGTCGGTGCTCCTCCGTACTGGTTCCCCTGATTGCTGGCGTAGATCGATTGCGCTTGAGACTGACCGGGTAGATTCGACTGGGACGATGGGGACTGCGCGTACTGATTCATCATCATCGGCGGCGGCACCGGTGCGTTAAAGTTCATCATCGCCGGTGGACACGGGGGGGCCATGGGAGGTTGAGGAGGCGGCACCGGAGGTACGTTCGACATTTGTCCCACACCGGACCCCATGCTTCCAGTTACCTGCTGCTGCATCGACTGCATCACGGATTGCTGAGGCTGTGGAGCGGGTGGCGCCGAAGAAGTTCTATGGTGACCGGATTGCGGCTGCTGTTGAAGCGGTTGTTGTGGTTGCTGTTGTGGTTGCGGTGGTGGCGCTGGAGGCTGTGGCTGCTGCTGCTGCACGGACTGTTGAGTAGGTTGCTGTTGCTGTTGTGAAGGAGGCTGCTGCTGCTGCTGCTGCGAGGCGACGGGACAACTCGGCGAAATTGCATTCGGACTATTTGTTGCTGCAAGGAGAAAGTCGTTTCTACATCTTCCTCTGGCTTTACACGCTCAGATTAAATAAGTAGATTAAACTAGATTGTACCTTGACTCTGTTGAGACATTCTGCGCTCTTGAATTATTGCTACATCCTCCCTGGTCATCGTTCTAGATAGAAAATATCGTTCAGTATCGTTTTATAACGTAAACACGATTGGGAAAGTAAAAAGAAGGCGAACCTGTATCCCATGTCTTCGTCGTATTGAGCATTGGTCGGTTGCTGTTGTTGAAAAACGGGTTGCTGCTGCGTGGCAGAGGCGGGCGCAAGACTTCTCGATATGTTGCTTCCATTGCTCAACACCTACGTTAAATATCGGATATTTACCGAACGGGCATCAAGATTTATTATAGTTGAACGCATCAGGGATGCGGCTTATAATTTAGCGTTCAGCCGATGTTCCTTTCGACTCTGACTCACATCGAGCGCTTGCAGCATCGCTTTGGCAAATGCGTCCGCGTCATCCTTACTGGAGAAGTTCAGACCGTATACTTGCTTGTTATCTCGCCACTGATGAAACGTGGCAGTAGCCTGATTGTATTTCAGTCCCTTGAGAATCGCGCAATTAATGACGATCTCGTGATCCTGCAGCTTTCTTCCGACCACACGAAACGTATTGTTCACCTGATGGTGATACAACTGGACCTTGGATAGTCCCGAAGAGCTGCCGCTCGGTACCCACTTTTTATTAACATCATCGTACACCATTACCGACGCGCGAGCGGACGATATGCTCACTTCGCTGAAACACAAAGAAGGCCACGCTAACGTCCGCTCTGTATACTCCCGTGCAAGACGTATTCGCACTGAAAGAAAACGAGCCAAAGAAATGCTACCACGATCGATACGTTTCCGGAAGGACCTGCTGCGATCGACGCGAGTGCGAGTATCGCATCATCTTCGAGGCTTCTCACGCATACGAGCTCTTCAAACCGAAGACTCGGGTTCTGTACAAAACGTTACGCTCGGTGTCACTTTCACCGCTTTAAAACAGCGCTCGCAGAACGAGAACAGAACGAAACGGAATATGAAAAGATACTGCCACTTCCTCCTTCGGTCGGCGTACCATCACACAAACCGGAGTTGCAAGAGATAACAGCCGGGTATCCGCGACACGTGTTCCTTTCGAATCTGACCGTGGCGCGTTACACCATCGATTCGAGGAGCGTTATTTTTTAAGGGAAGGAAGAATCTACTATGCGTGGAGTCGCCTCTCGAAATCTCTCGTAACACCGGAGACGATGCTATTCTTTCGCGTTGTTTTTGTGTAAGAGGTAGAACAGAGGTTCGGCGTCACGATCATGTTACGGTGTAACCCTTTTAAAACGAGACTCCCTTTCTTCTTGCCCTTAACACTTCCTCTCTCGCTCTCTCGCTGCTCTTTAAAACAACAGACGCTATTCGAGTTCGATCGAGTCGGGGATCGAAATTTCATTTCGCGCGATCGTCCGTCATAGTGTTAGATAAAATTTAAGTTCCGGTTACCTGAACACGCGATATGAATCACAATGTGACTCACGGCAATGAAAATGTTATCGAACGGAATTCATTGATAACTGTTTTCTACGAAGTTATATACGTAGTAAGTTTTGAATGAATCAGTTCATAGACTTGCGATATCTATTATTGATACTAGTTTTGACAGAAAGGGTTATCGTATAAAGGCAACACGACCCGTCAAAGATTTTTATTCGCGGGAGAAACTATAAAATACGCGCGTGCGTGTCGTCGATCTCTCGTCTAACATAAACAAATGCGTTCAGCGAAATTTTCGTGCAACGTCGTTCCCGGCCGTGTGCGTGTACACGCGTGCCCGGGTCCGGTTTTAGATAAGGATAATCCTAAAGAATGTGTGCAAGGAGCGTTGCCCCGACGTAAAAGGGACGAGCGAAGGTATAGGATGAAGTTCCGTTCGCGTTCACGGTACACAAAGGCGTCGAGAAGCAAGATTTGGAAGTGCATTCGGAGATGCCTTCCGGTGAATGACACCGAAAAAGTTGCGACGGTCGCGTGAAAAGAATATGCGAACACCGGATACGCGACCGGGAAGGGTGGAAGCAATGACAGTTTCGGAAATATTCGGTAAAAACCATCGCGAGGCCCTACCCCGGACTTAAGGGTCGGGATCCTCTCGAGATGTTCGAAACGCCGACGAAACGATGCTGGACGGACAACGATTTACGTCGAAAAGTAGAGTAACGAGAAATGCTGAGTCGTCGAACGTAGCTAGAACCGTAAACAATGGTCGTCAGAATAAAAAGTAATCGTGCTCTCGTGCCTGTGTATCACTGAACTCGAGACGGACCCTCTCTTTCGTTCGATGCTATATCGTATACGTGGAACTTACTTCATGTTTGTTTGACTCGGAAGCGTATGCTATGCCTTCATGCAAGCCGTATTCCTGCTTCTGCACAGTATATCACCGATCCCATGAAAACACGCGAGATTCGGGCAGGATTTGCGGTAGTTCGACATAAATAACGTACGGCACTAACACCACCCCGACACCCTACCTATGCACATCTGTCCGGCCATATTGCCCGACTCCAGGCTCGTACTCCTACCACCTTCGTCGTCTCGGTGCACGCGTTTTATCTAGAGGGTGTACTCGAATTGCGAGCGTCTGCACGCTCTGCCATTTTTACCGCTCCACCTACAACGAGGTATAATCGGACGCGCAGCTGCGGTCCCTGCAAAGCGTATGAGGCCGAGTGTACGCGCTGTATACTTTCGAAAATTTCGTATGAACCGCTGCTTGGTCGATCCGCTGGTCCTGTTCAGCATCAGATGGCGCGGCAATTTTAGTTCTGTTCTACTTGAATACACGGGAGTTTCCACGAACCCTATCGGCGACGCACCTGGCGCATCGACCGAGAAACAGAAACAGCTGTCTGTTCGACGCAACGAGGGAATATCGTCGGTTAATCGTCGATCCAGAACCGTACGGATCCTGCTGTTCGCGTTACCCGTGGGATGCCAAGTAACGAGGACTTCAGGATATCGTGACTGTCATCGAAGGCGCACTAGGCCTGCCCCCTCGCATCACCACTCTTTTACCGCTTTAGGCGGTCGCTTCGACGATAACGTGTGCTTGTCTTTTATTTTTTCGATTTCTACAATCCGGAACGTTTCTTTCTCCCCTCTTTGCCTCTCACTCTGCCTCTCTCTCTCGGACTTGCTCTTCTCGCTTTTTCCGTGTGTGTCCCCACTTGCTGGTTCTACCGCTTCTCTCTATCTCCCTCGCTCTTTCTCGTTACAAACTTCTCCGTCTCTCTGTCTCCCGTTTCTCCCTCTCTTCCTGACTCCGTATTCCTCTCGAGGTTTCTCTGTGCTTCGTTCGACGATGTAAACAGACTGATATTTTACGAAGGAATTATTAACGTTCCTGCACCAATTTCACCATCCCGTACAACCGTACGCTGCTGTTATCACTTCGACAAGTGTTGTGCGTGCACCGGAGTGACGCACCTATAGCTGAAATAGGCGCGCATCAACAACCAGCATTTCTTCGATGACATTGCCTTTGATTGGTGACGATTCGTGGGACAACATTCGCGTAGATCGGGAGAAAGATATGCGTAACATTTTTTCGATCGCGATGCTCGATCTCTCCACGAGGTTGTAGATAAGCATTCTCCCGCGCTACGGACACGGGCGTGAAACAGGTCCAAGCAGGACCGAAGTTAAGTGACCCTAAAGTGCGGAAATAAACGGTTCGTCTCCATTGAATTATGCCCTAAATACGTGTGATAAGGAATTGAAAAACGATCTCAGAGGAGTCGCTTCCGCTGTACTGTGATCTAATTGTTAACGTTTTATTACACCCAACTCCATTTTGATCCTAGTTTCTATCAATTTCTTGCACATCCTTCTCACCGTGTTGATCTTTCAGTGAGCGGTGCTTTTCAAAACAATAAGATCTGTTGTATTAATTTTTACAGAGACACTGGTTACGTGCATAACCATATGCAATAGTGGAACAATGAAGAAGTTATCGTTTGAAATTACCAACTGAACATGGAGGTTCTATCGAGAGATTCAGTGATCGAGCATCGAGCATATTAGATATGCTTCGTACGATTAGGAAGAGACTGAATGACTGAACAAAATTATAAGGAATGATATTCTACTCGAGCCTATTGGATGTTAGATAAGCTGAAAAATGTCTGGTGATTCAGGATGGAGTGCTGTTATTCACCATCCTTCAGAATTAGAGTTGCAGAATTGGAATTGGGAAGAGAATGATGGGGAGCAAGAAAGAGAGCTCCCTTCGACCGTCGACATGGATGCCATAAAGGGTGGCGGTAGTTGGCCAACCACTGAACCTAATGGTAATAAGATACTCCTTTGCTCGATTATGTAATCGTATTCTAACAAGCAGCTCTTCATATAGAACTCTTATCAGGTACAGATTCTGTCGATTCTGAAGAAGACTCTGATTCCGAGGACGAAAGTTCTGGAGGTACCGAGGGTAGCTGCTCTTATTCGGATTCGAATTCAGATTCGGACGACGAAAGTAGCGGCGACGAGGAAGATACGGGATCCAACACGGATTGCACCTCAGACCACAGCGAGCCTGCGTTTTCCATTCAGAACGCGAATTTTGAACCGGTACGAGTGCCATAATTAAATCATTATAGCTAGGGCTTCAAAACTTTGGCCATGGATCGATAGAATCTCTAATTATGTTGTAGGGAGCACTTAAATTGAAGCTGAGCAAGAAAGGTCCAAAAAAGGAGGAATCAGAGAAAGTGAAATGCGAGAAAAGTCGAAGAGGCGCATCGAAAAAAGTTAAAACGAGCCGCGGAGGGAAGGTAACTTTACGAACTTACACTAAGGATAAATTATCAAACTCCGTTGGTAGATCTCTTTTACTATTGGTTTTGTTTAGTCATCCGAATGCAGCAGCGACGATTCTGACTCGTCGCAGAGCCGTCCACCTTCGCAGCAACAGCAAGCGACGTCGCAGCAGTCGCAGCAGCAGCAACAACCCCAGCAGCATCAGCCGCTTCAGGAGATCAATCAGGAAGATTTGGCGGCTATCTTGCCGGACCAGGAGCACGAAGACGCTCCGTTCGACGGTTTTGAAGATTCGGAGAGCGGTCGGTTAGTATCGAAAGCGATCGAGCGTATGTCGCTCGGTGCCGATTCCGATACGAGTGAAACCGGTGATCAGAATCCTGTACCTGTGTATAGTTCCACTTTGCTGCAACAATTCGTTGAGAAAACGGCTCTGCTGTCCGAACCAAGAAAAAGACGGAGTAAATTAGGAAAGAAAGTGAACGATTCCGAATATCCCTGCGTTTCGAATGTGTCTCCAGACTCAGGGATACAGTCGGTAGACAATAGTCCGTTGCATTCGGCTATTAGTCCCGTGAGTCCTCCGGCACCGGCGCAATCCCCGGTACAACCAGTTGTCACGAAGCCAGCGGTGAACGTTGATCGTGTTCTCTATCCACCTAAACGAAAACCTGGTAGACCGGCGAAAACGGTTTCTACGCAACCTCGTGGCCCGGGAAGGCCGAGGCTGAAGCCAGAGATCGTAGAGAAGATTGAGAAAATTGAGAAGACGGAGAAGACCGGCAAGAACGAGAAGACCGAAAAGAAGGAGAATCAATCAGTAAAAGTAGCGAAAGAAGAATCGAACAAAAGGGGAAAAGCGAAGGTGCCGCCACAGAAAACCGCTTCATCATCCCGGACAGATAAACAAGAGGAAAATGAATCGGCAAAGAAGTCGAAGGAGAAGACGCCGGTCGTTTGTCAGAAGAAACGGAGCTGCAACATTTCCAAGCAATGCACGCAGGGTAAGGTAACCGGGAAGCGGAACAGCGTAAATTCTCCAGCGCGTGTCAAGTGCCTAAGTAGAACTGTTACGAGCAAATATGGAAAAGAGGGAGTTCAATGCAACGGTGGGTCGTGTAAGAAAGTCGGGAAAGAGAAGCCCGCTGGAACGGGAAACAAAACTACGACTCTGTTACGGCGACAGAAGCAATCGATTTGCGAACGATCGTCCAATGACAAGAAACTGGTCAGTTCGAGTAAGAGAAGTCTGAAGGAGAACAGAAGCTCGTCTACAGGAACTTTGGCTAAAAGACAGGTATTGGTGAAGAAGAATGCCGCGCCGGTCACGCGACGCGTCTTGAAAGAAAATAAAAATACGAAGAAGGCCGGGACGGCGTTCGCAACGAACGGAGTTGGCGTGCAGACGTTGATATCTTTACCTGTTGGCGAGGTATTAAAGGCCGAGAAAGTTGGAAATGTCAGCAACAAGTGCGACAAGGCGACGCAGCCTATACACAATCATTGTCACAAAAACCATCATCACAAGCATCGAAGACGGATGCTTTTGCCGCCAAAAAATCCCATACGGATCCATCCGTGTCTTATCCAAGAGTTAGAGAAGCTGATCGAAGAGTTTTCGAGATTGTGCACTTTAGGTAGGAACAATTCGAACTCTGGTTATTCCGAGTTACCTCAGATATTCCGCATAAGGAAAGTGACGAAGAAGAGGAAAGGCGACGTTTCGGCGAATGAAGACCAGAAGCAAAAAAGACGTTTGAAGAAAGAGAAGACTCTGTCAGGGACAGATTCGAAAAACAGTACGAATGCGAACGCGAATTCGAATCCCAATGAACAGCGATTACCATTGAAGAAGAGGCATTATCACGTGTCCAGTCCTCACAGTTCGCAAAGCTCGAACGCAAGTGGCACGGATGGAGCAGCGAACGAAGCGAACTCCACCGAGAGTCACATTGAAGAAGCAATCGAAGCGACCATAACGAGGTATGGAGGCAGTTCCGCATCCTCTTTCCAAGAAGATTCTGTACCTGTTACTCCTAAGAAAAGGCTTAGGGACACTGAGAGCAGAAACCCCGACAAGTCGAGTGCGTCGTGTTCCGATCTTTTGGACGAGAAATCATTGAGTCAAATAGAAATACAGCCACGTCGTAAGAAGAAGATCGTCAAAGATCTACGTGTAACGGTTACGAAATTACCTGTCGAGGGTCACGGAGCTTCGGAGAAGGGTGAAAAGACGGACAAAGCTGAGAAAGCTGATAGCAAGGCCGAGAAGTCTGAGAAAAGTTCTAACGATTCTAGAAGCGCGAAGAGTCGCGGGGAAAAGGGCGGTAGAAGCGAGAAGGCGACGGAGAAGTTGGTGAAAAACGACAAAAGTCAAAACGATAAAGTCGAGAAAAGAGATATCTCGCCGGATGTTCATTTGGAGAAGAATATAAAAGTGGATGCCGCAGAATTTAATGCAGCGGAAAGTTTCGATGAGAACGAAACGAAACCAGCTCAAAGCAGTCTCAGTCCTAATGTCCCGAATCCTTTGAACTCCTCCGCAGTACTGGTATTAGCTAAGAAGAAAATTAGAAGAAGGAAAACCATCAACCGTACAGGTTTTCCTACGTTGAAGAAAAAGAAGAAGAAATCCGTGAAGATGAGGGAGACAACAGACGCATCGAGTGCTGTGGCTGGTGAGAATAGTACGGACGTTCCAGCTGATGCTGAAACCTCAACGAAGGAAGGAGCTGAAGACTCGATAGTCGATAGCAAAACGACTTTGCTAAATACTGAGATTCAAGAAGCGTTTGCTGAGGACGTATCTCATAAACCTGTTAACAACGTTACTCAGAGTCGAGTTCAGTCAAAAGCTGATCCGTGCTCGAGTGACACAAATTCACCGAAATCGGAAACTAATAGCCGTGCTCGTTCCGAGGAGACGTCTGAACCTCGTTCCGGTCAATTGAGGGTTCGCAAGGATCTCGTAGAAACGGACAGCGATAACGCGTCAAACAAATTGTGCCCGGTTAAGTTTGAAAAGATTCAGGACGCAAAGCCTTATGACGAGAACGCGCCTCTGGACGAAGTCGTAGAGAGATTCAATTCGAATCAACGCATCGCAGAGTTGAGCGAAGAAAACGTGAAAAAACTGGAACGCGCGACGTCTCAGACGAACATAAAAACGGAGCACGCGGGTTCGTTTAACGGGAATCAAAGAAAGCGCAGGGGTTCCTCGAGTCCTTGCAATTTGACGGCTAGAAACCTGAAGCGGTTGCGTAGCTCCGGCTACGACACGGAGAACGACATCATGCCCAATAACGACGTCCTTAGTGACGATCACGAGGTAGGCAAGCATTCGAACTCGACGCACACGAGGAAGAAACAATCCAGGTGGAAGAAACGTTACTTACAGGGAGATATTCTGCAGGAGTACGGGAAAGATTTCGACGGGAAATCGCGTGGCAACATCGAGAACAGCGGCGCCTCTGGAAAAAAAATCGCGTCCGAAGCCAGTGAGTCCGCGGCTTTGTTGTCTACGTATCAATGCGGGAAATTGCTGCGACAGAGGAAAATGCCATTTCAGCTCCCCTACGATTTGTGGTGGTTGCATACGCAGTCTAGATTGCCTGGCAGAGAATCCGCAGTTCCATCGTGGAATTATAAGTAAGAATCAAATTTTCACAGCTCTACAATGTTCATCGTTTCGTAACTTGCATTCTTATACTTTGTAGGAAAATTCGTACTAATGTATATTACGATGTAAAGCCTACTACTCTGTACGAAGCTCAAGCTTGCGAGTGCAAGCCTGAAAGCGGCTGCGGGGACGATTGCATCAATCGTATGGTTTTCAGCGAGTGTTCCCCGCAGCTTTGTCCTTGCGGCGAGAAGTGTGAGAATCAGAAAATTCAGAAACACGAGTGGGCACCGGGTTTGCAGAAATTCATGACCGAAGACAAGGGTTGGGGCGTGAGAACTCAACAAGCCATAAAATCTGGGGTCTTTATTCTTGAGTACGTCGGGGAAGTAGTATCCGAAAGAGAGTTTAAATCGAGAATGGCTACCAGGTATGTCAATTATATTTTTCGTTGAGTTCGTGCAAGCGAACGTGTTGAAATTTCATTTCATTTCGATTCGTTATGTGATAGGTATGCGAATGATACGCATCACTATTGCCTGCATCTCGATGGTGGTTTGGTAATCGATGGGCATCGTATGGGCGGCGACGGAAGATTCGTGAACCACTCTTGCGAACCCAATTGCGAGATGCAAAAGTGGAGCGTTCACGGCCTTCCGCGTATGGCGTTGTTCGCTTCTAGAGATATCAAGCCGGGTGAAGAATTGACATACGATTATAATTTCGCGCTCTTCAATCCATCCGAAGGACAGGAGTGTAGATGCGGTAGCAGCGCTTGCAGAGGCGTGATTGGTAATAGTACAGTGTCTCATGTTTCTCTCAACAAATTTTCTCGTTGCATTTCGAACGTTATCTTCGTAGGTGGGAAGAGTCAGCGGGTTTCGAAGAGTGTAACTGCTATTCCGCCGCAGTTGGAACCGCCGGAAAGGCGATCGGTCGGACGACCAAGAAAGAACATGCGAAAGTCTAACGCGGTCCAATCTTCAAATTCGAAAGGCATTTGCAAATCTCGAAAAATGGGCGATTCTAGTTTGATCCACGCACCCGTATTGAAACCTATGTCGCATCAGCAACGGTGCTTCGCTCAACAACATCATTGTTTCCTGTTAAGGAATTTGGAGAAGGTTAGACGCGTCAAATCGTTAGTGAATCAAGTCCAAGTGCAAAATGGTAAAACCAAGTTTGGCAATGCGAACGCCGTGAAAGAAAAAGGTCCAGCGGACGCGAAGATTCAATCTGACGCATTCTTCTCGCAATTAACGGCACTTACTAATACAAATACGCGTACCGTACGAACCCGAAGACTGGCTCAAGCGCAGGACGATCCAGAAATGCACAAAACTGCGAAATTGGCCAAGGTAGAAAAATCGCTTTTTACTTTTTTCATTTGTAATTCAATTAATCATTGGTACTACGATAATTTATTAATTTCCAGGTTTTGAAAGATTTGTATAGTATCGTAACAAACGCGAACGATGAGAATGGACAACCACTGTGCACACCGTTTATAACGCTACCATCGAAGAGAAAATTGCCAGACTATTACGAGAAAATATCTGATCCTATAGATCTGACTACGATCGATCAGTGTATCGGTACAGGTCATTACAAAACTGCTGAGCATTTCGACCAGGATATGATCAAGCTGTTCGATAACAATGTCCGATTCTTCGGGAGAACCTCGGAAATCGGTATAGCCGCGGCAAGGTTGAGAAAACTATATCTAGGAAGCAAACCCGATTTCGTGGATGCCATCACAGAAGCGATGGGCTCTCCTCCGTCTCAAGGATTTTTGCCTCCTCGTGGTTCTACGGCGGGCGAGGAAGATGTCATCAGATGCATTTGTGGCTTGCACAGAGACGAAGGCTTGATGATTCAATGCGAACGCTGTCTTGTTTGGCAACATTGCGATTGCGTTAAAGCCGATACGAGCGTAGAATCTTACTTATGCGAAAGGTGTCATCCGCGCCCAGTGGATCTCGAGATTCCTTTGGAAGGCGATGAGGAAGAGGAAGGCAAAAAGCATTACGTCACTCTGATGCGCGGCGATTTGCAGCTCAGGCAGGGCGACACAGTGTACGTGTTGAGAGACACACCCGAGAAACATACATACAAAACCATACAAAAACCCGACTATGAACAGATGGATATCTTTAGAATCGAGAGACTCTGGAAAAATACCGAGTGAGTGCAATTTCCCGTGCAATTAGCTCTTAATTCTTGTCGAAGTTCCATGCTGATGTTCGACAATTTTTACTTCGACAGAGGCGAGCGGTTCGTGTTTGGTCACCATTATTTAAGACCGCACGAAACGTATCACGAACCGACCAGAAAGTTTTATGAGAACGAAGTTGTGTGTGCACCACTTTACGAAGCAGTTCCGTGCGACTTGGTTGCTGAACGATGTTGGGTTCTCGATCCTCACACGTATTGTAAAGGTAGTCATGTATCCCCAGCACTGCGCTTTCTTATTATTAGGTACAGTAGTTTAAAATGTAAGTTATGCTTCCACGAAGGTCGACCGGTGGGTTCTACGCCAGAGCATACTTATGTCTGCGAGTATCGCGTTGATCGCGCTGCTCGATTGTTCACAAGAGTTGCCAGAGCCAGGCATCAAGTTTGCACGAAACCTTACGCGTTTGAAATGTTTCCACAACGAATCAAGCATTATCGGACATATTTGGTAAGTATCAAGTTGATATTGTCCATTGAAGAAATGGAGGTAAAATTTATTTGGTATACAGCCCCACAGTCTGGAAGGGATTCAAGTCGGAGGGAAGATGAATAAAGATAAAAAGAAGACGAGCACCCAGGAAGTCGATTCTAATCAGAAGTTGGAAGCGGGCGACAATGCAAAAACGCACACCAAGGACCAGCAAAAATCTACCAGTAAGGGGAGACGACGGTCGAACGAAATTTTAACTATCGCTACACCCGCGACGTCGTTCGCTCAGGTAATAATTGAACTACGGTCGATCAATATCGTATCATCACCTCTTGATGTTTTAATAATTACATCGATGTTATAGAGAGAAGAACAGAGGAGACGACTAAACAGCATTTTAACCAATCTATTACAAAAGATGCCGAATAAAAAAGACCCTCTGGATCTGTCGTTTTTACTAGAGAGAAACAGGCGAAATCGTAAGAGGCCAGGTGGATTAAATCCGTGACACTGGATTGTACATGAACGATAATAAGGCTTTATAATATTAGGTACATGCGATGTGCGTGTACGACACTCCACACGTAGACAGACTCGCGCGCGCACATACGTACGATAGCTAACACAGTTAATAATATGTGCCACTGCTAATTTCTCTCACAGTCGAATCTGTAATCAAACCGATCAGACCGATCGATTATTTCGTTTCGTTATACGTAATCGATGTCATTCAATCTGTTTTACAAGGGAAATTAGAGACAGCTCGTTTCCTTCTCCTTGTTACACCATGACCCGTCCATTCGTATAATTTTAATCTTAAATGCGAAGGCTATCCTCCGCGAGGAACGTCGTATCAATCGAGAACCATTTTATATGTTGTTTTAACGTGTATGAAACTCGATAGGGAACCATGGGCTCAGGTACCGAGTGAAATTTTCTATTGTCCTTTTGGCATCTTTTTAAGGTAGAAGTTCGAGAGATAAATGGTAGACGCATTAATTGAAACGAATGGTAATCTTCGATTATCTTTTATTTAGGATATTCCAGTGAGTTTTATCTCGAAAAATTTGTAAGTATTTCGATCGCGTGGAGATATAATTCGTTTTTGTGAAACGGAGGAAATCAGGTCCCGCACGGTGGACAATGTATCTGTTAAATTAAATCTAACGAGATCTATATTAATTCTAATATAATTAGAAT